GCAAAAAGACTGAAACTAAGGTGAAACAAAAACAGGAAGTAACGTCAAAATCAAAGCCGGACAGGAAGCAGCGGAACTGAATCATGACAAAATGTCAAATGTGCTTTAAAGCACAGGCTTCCACTTTCTGAGAACCTCAAAAGCAATCACACATTTGCAACTTTTCAAAACCCGTAATAGAGTATCATTCTTCAGGAAACAAGACTGTAAAAGGTAAGAAGTAAAAATAAGTATGACATGAAAGTGTACTCACCATCTACTTATGTCAAATGTGAAGGAAAACAATCCCAGTGAGCCACTAAATATACCGCCTATGGGCAGATACATTCTAATTGCACATGTGAACAAAATGAAAATTAAACTCACTTTCATTAATTTACCTTGAGACTTGATCTGCCCAGCCTGACAAAGGCAATGGCATACCACAAATAAATTATTTCCTAAATTGCCAGCATCCTTCATCCATATGACATTCATCATCATCATCATCACAGTCATTATCACAAGCATCGTCGTTATCATAATGATACCAAAAATAACTGCCAAGATTAAACTAGAGATTATCCTCAAAGTGAAATCAACGTGTTCCTTGTAATCACCACAAGCATCATCATCATCATCATCATCAACATCATCATTTTCAGACAACTGGGATCCTGTCATAGTGAGACCCTAACATCTCTCTAACACAGATACTGTATGTTTTCATTTCTTATGGGGACATTAAATTGACTTACCTTAAACTAACATTGCCTTAACCAAGATTTAACCCTCCAAAAGCCCTGCCAAGGTTTGCCAGAAAGTGAAGACTGGCCAAAATGTCCTTATTCTCACGGTATAAAACTCAAATTGCTCCTCACTGTGTATATAGTGTTAAGAATATACAACACATTTGCAAAGACCTTATGGCTGTCAAGTGAGACCAAGTATAGAATAACAAATTGACAAATGCTCAACACAAATATGAAGAATAATGTTGATCTTCTTCTTCTGTCTCTATGCTGAATATTTATTAATAAGTAACCGCAGGCTAAGTGTTCTTCCTAGTTTTCACCTTTGGATCAGATAATGAATGCAGCCCACACATACACAGACACACAGATACACACACCTACACACACACACACACACACACAGATCTGTAGGTGTGCTGCATGCATCCACAAATTCATTAAATTGAAATTTGCATTTGTTACAAATAATATAGAAGATCAATATAACTTGAAAAATACATATGCATCTAAATTACTGCTGCAAATGCATGAAAAATAGCAATTAGAACATACCTAAATGTTTAAATGCACATGCACACATTCACTTATACCTTTGGCATTCTGCAACCACCCCACAAAAGTGGAGACAAACCAATATGTCTTTGCAGTATTTAAATCAGTTATGAGTCTAATTATTCCATGTAAAAATAGACAATATCTAGGGCAAAAGCAATGAGATGGAACATTGTTGTCTGCAGAGGGGAGACCTAGTGAAGCTGGCAAGAGTTCAACACAGCAGAAGACAGGGAGAGTGAGATGGGGAAACAGGGAGCGAAGACAGGGAGAGAGTGTGCTTTAGGCTACATAAATATAACATTAACTCTATACGCTAGTGGCAGGCAAGCAAGCAGCACAATGGACCTATGATCAGGAGTGCTTTGTGAGGGTGTGGAGAATACATTGTGCTACCTCAGGAATATCAGGTTTTGATACCTGGGAGATGGAGAGAGTGGTCCAAGGGAGAATTTATGTGTTTGTGTGTGAGTGTGAACAATAGACAAAGGGAAAATGAATGCAGCAAGCAGATATTCTGCAGGTTCACACTGACATGCAGACCCTGCAGTCAGCTCTCAGCACCGTGTCCCTGGCTCTGCACTGAGCAGACTCTCCTTCTAATGAGGGTAATGTTTGCATCGTGTGGTCATTGGTCACATTTCACTGTCCTGTCACTGCCGTGTGTTTAATGGGTGTACGTGACTCTGTATTTCAAGACTTTGACATGGGACACCACTGTTCATTTCCCATTTTCCCATTTCCCATTTCACTGCCAGTTTTATTAATCATGACTGTTTCATAGCCTTAAATGTGTGTTTATTGTTGTAACCATGACAATGAAGGTCTCTAACCATAAATGAGTACTTATTATAACCAAAACATCATCTTCTCCTAAACCTGGTTACATTGGGTTTGTGCCTAAACTTAACCAAAGTTGGACCCTTGCAATAACCTCAACTGTGTTCAGTATTGTAACCATGGCAACAAAGGTCCCTGCCAGCCCCAGGGTAGTATTTCAGGAGACTTATCTGAAGACAGGGCCAAATGACCTAAATGGTCATTTAAATTGAAGGATTTAGGCATTTTATTCCAATGCAAATGACAAAAGTCTGCCTTTATTTTACAATATAGCTATAAGAAAAATGAATGGCTATAAGACGATTGGGTTCCCATGTTTACCAACAGCATGGGAAGAGTAATGAAAACATTTTACTGCAAGACCTGAAAATATAGGATGAATTACTGACCTTAGACTGGCATTGATTACAAAGAGATGATACATTAGTGATGATAATAGAATTATTGCCTCATGACTATATGTCAAGTTCACAGGAATGGGATGGACATGTGGACATAGTGACCTTGACCTTTGACCACCAAAATCAAATCAATGTATCCTTTTGGACATTTGTGCCAATTTTGAAGAAGTTATCTTAAGCAGTTCTTAAGATATGGCATTCACAAGAATGAGACATACAGTATGTATGAACAAACAAACATCCCAAAAACATAATGGCTCTGGCCACAGCTGTTGCTGGCACAGAGGCATAGCTTTTCTCTGGAATAATAGACCAACAGGCAACATTTTAGACTGTATAAGAATGTGCCTCACATTTACTGAAGACTCACTTGCTAGACTTCATCTGTTAATTTTACAGTACAATGGTGGATCAACTATAAGCTGATTTTTCAGGAAATATCTACATTTCCTAATGTAGTTCCAACTTTGTAAATATATGTAAAAATACATTTGATCATTAAATGAATGTGCAGT